ACTAGCTACGGCCTGCACTACCGAGGGGTCGAGGTTCGAGTCCCCGTAGGGTTAAGAGTTTTCTCTCCACAATGTCGTCCAGACCGGCTCTGGGGCCCACCCATCCTCCTATCCAGTGGGTACTGGGGACTGTTTCACCGCGGTGTAAGGCGGGCGGGGCGTGAAGCTGACCACTCACCACCAACTTGTGCCAAAGTCAAGAAAGCGTGGACGTATACATCCACTACCCACACGCCTTCGTGGCTTAGTGCTTAATTAGTTAAGCACAAGGACAATTTTATCATTTACCTTTCGATACGTAAGTTCAACAGCGACGTACAGCGTGGCCCCTCCACAGATCCCTACTAAGGGATAATGCATTCACACTGATATTTTGACATCTATTTCAATATTATCCTCTCATTTACACTTAGTTGTTGCTAATGGTCTAATTATTTCTGTTCTCCTACCAAACTTTGTCGGCGCCTCTCTTCCATTCGTGCTACATGCACTGCACGTCTCATCCTTCCTAATTTTATCTTTCTATTAACATTTTGGGAGGAGAAAAATTATGAAGCTTCTGGAATCATCAGGGATAGCTCGGTATAGCGACTACGTTACGGGCTAGCTGGTTAAGGAATCGGGTTCGATTCCCGATTTGAACAAGAGCTTTTTCGCTTCTCTACAGAGTCCACACTGGCTATGGGGTCCACCCAGTCTCACATTCAACGGAAATAGGGGCTGTTTCTCCAGGATCAAAGCGGTCGGGGCATGAAGCTGACTACGCATCTCTATCTAATATTCCGGTTAAGAATTACGTACCTGTACCTTCACGACCCCATACGTCTTCATGTTGTGATGCTTAATTAATTAAGCGAAGCGATAATTTCACGTTAAGGCCTAAGCATTTCTTCTTTCCTTCTCCTTCAAGTTTATTCACTGATTTATGTAGGATCTGATGTCCTCGCAGCGGCCTATATAACGCCGTGCTGTCCGTCTAAAGTCAGCCGACGTTTCGGAAGGACAGATCTCTGCTTAACACCTGCCTTCACGTTGGGCTTTTGTTTTGTCTACACTTTGACTCTGAAGATGGAGGCGATATATTTCTCCGAAACCTCGTTTGAACTTCAACAGAGTACACGTCGTTATATCCCAAGAGACATACGCCAATGGACGTAGAGCTGTAATTGTCTCACACGGAAAGGCTATATTTAACTCACTGTGCACTAACCTTAAGGTTCCTGAGAAGCTGACAGGCACCCAGACAATTAAGAAACTCTCCACCTTCTAGTGAACACGAAGGTTTATTACCGTGATTATTTGAGAAGTCAACAGCCCCTATTCTGAGCAAGATGAATCCAATCTAAACTTTTCCACCCTCTTCCTTTAAGATGCTTAACTAGTGCTACATCACCATCTGGGGACACGCGGTAGCGCAGTTGGTTGAGGCACTATGCTACAAGCCGGAAGGCCGCGGGTTTGAGTCCTGATGAGGTTGACTTTTCAATTGAGGTAATCCATCCAGATGAACAATGGCCCTGAGGTCGACTCAGCTTCTAACAGAAATGAATACAGGAATCTTCCTGGGGGTAAAGGGTGGCCGGTTCGTAAGGCTGACAACCTCACCGCCGTCTGTGAGCCGACTGTCTAGAGAAAATGTGGGAGCCTCAACATCTCACAACTCTATGGGCCTTCACGGCCTATTACAGGGATACCTTTACCTTTACACAAACATCTACGTCTGTTTTACGAACACAATTTTATATGCTTTAATTATCGGTTCGATTTCCCTGGACGGGGGATCAGCACGTCGCAAGGCCGCTATCTATCACCAACACAGAATAAACACAAGCAGACATCCATGCCTGAGAGGGATTAGAACCCAAGATCCCAGTGTTCGAGCAGGCGAAGACTTCTTGACAATCTCAGTGACTATTATTTGCTCAGGAAGGAAACTAAGCCGATATTTAATTACTGATTTCTATATTATATTATATTGTTCTTCATACAGGATAGTTTCCTATAGCCAAATTTAGGTCTCGGTGAGATAAGACAGCAAAGGTTCGGCCACACAGAGCGCTACGTACGCCATGTTCCCTATGTTAGCTGCGTTGCTGAGTGTACACAGCGTACGTAGCGTACGTAGCGTACGTAGCGAACATAGCGTAGCGCTCTGTGTGGCCGAACCTTAAATAGGCCTTTATTTACTTTTACCATCCCCCTAAGTGATATAAGGATATTGTAAAGTAGGTCCTTAAGTTTCGGTATTATGTTAAATCAACCCTATTAAACTATCGTTAAACATCTAATTGGATTGTGACAATCTTTGATTGTTTAGGTTTGTAAATAAACATCGAATTAGGCCTACTGAGATTTATTCACTTTATAATAAAGTTTTGTTCCAAAAAAAAGGAAACACCGCTTTCCGTGCTGCTTTCACATACAGACGGGCGGAAGTAATAACAGTCTGAGTAGCTAACCAATAATTTGATATCGATTCTACAGAAACTGACTTGAACAAGTTTAAACAGGGTGGATCAACAACTGGATTTCTTTCAATTTTACGTAGGCCTATCAAACAGAGTTCCATTTTGTATCTCAGACAGTTAATCAATTGAATGTTGATAAAAAGTAAAAAAAAAAACAAACAAACAAACAAAGATTCCAATTCAGAATTACCGAAACAATCAGAGTGCTAGGAGAACTACCTTTAGGCTGCCACTCGGCGTCTCCGCTGGACAGAAGCCCGGGTTCAGTCCCAGTGTAGGTTATGTGTCGGGCAAAACAATTTTGGGGCGGGTTTCTCTATGAACACGTCCGTTTCCATCTGAAATTGTACACGCTACAAAAGATTCGTACTTACGTTTCGTCGGAGCACGAGGTAGAGTAGTTGTTTGAGGCAATACGCTATAACTAGACTGCCTCTGTGGTCTAGTAGTCAGAGTTTCTGGCTACAGATCCAGAGCTTCCGGGATCGATTCCCGGCGCTACCAGCTTTCGTGAGAAGTAGTGGATCTGGAACGGGGCCCACTGAGCCTCGAGAGCATAATTGAGGAGCTATTTCAAGGAAATAGCGGCTCCGGTCTAGAAAACCGAGATTAATGGCCGTCGGGATTCTTTGCGCTGACCACGTGACACCCTCTATCCGCTAGTTGGCACTAACTTCGCAGACAAGCGGCGGTCGCTCGGTCGGTAGAGTTCGCTTGCGGACTACAGGCCACGGAGTTTAGTTTAAATAGGCTATAAACCGGAAGGTTGCGGGTTCGATTCTCGATTAGGTCACAACAAACAAGAAACAAACAGTAATTTAAATTATTGTAAAGAGTATAGTCGTTACTATGCAACGACCGAGAGATAAGCAAATGTACTACAGCCGTTTTTAGACAACGGCTCAGTAAACACCTTCCCGCACCAAGGAATCGAGACGCAAAATACAGGTACTTTTGGAAACGGTGTTTCCTACTCGGTCCGTGGCGAGAGGTTATAAGGAAGGCAATTGGACATACCAAGTCAGTTCTGTACGGGAGTGTGAAACAAGAACGGTTCAGTTGGAAAGGAGACACCGTTCAGACAGTTCTTGAGCACGGAAGCGGAGAACCAGCCATTGTTAGAAGTCGCTAACAGGAAACGTCTAATAACAGACTGAGAACACTTGACTGTGTGGAGATCAGCTATAATGTTACAGTTACTCGTAGCTACGACCCGTAAGTGGTCGATAAATCACTCCCTCATGAAGCCGAGCCCTTCTTGAAGAGCCGCCAATTCTGCTCCTACTTAAGAACTTCTCAGTATTTTGTGGAACTCGAAGGTTCATTACCGTGTTCACAGGAGCCCTCCACCGGTTCCTATACTGAGCCAGATTAATCCAATCACCCAATTCTCTATAAAAATTCATTTTAATATTGTCCACCCACCTACTCCTAAGTAGTCAATAAATGTAATTACCAACCCAAACCCCGTCTAGAGCCACTCATACTAGTGACAAAATTTAGCACGAGGGAAGCGTTAATGTCCCGATATTTGTCTGGCCAATTACCAGAAGAGCAGAAACTTATCTGGAATATAACGGCGTATAGTCCGTTGAACGTCAACGGAAGTTTCGGAGGAACATCGCCTCCATTTTTAGGGTCGAAGAATAAGCCAGGTACAAAACCAGCGAGAAGCAGGCAGTATAAATTGTTAGTTATGATTGACGCTAAGCCTGCAAACTATAACTCAGCCATTAAGGGGCGTCTTACGATATTTTAATCACTATGAAACGTATAGAGTCATATGCAAAGAGATGGAGGCGAATAACAACCGACAAGACGACTGGTCACAGAATTTTGGGACGAAATACTTCGAATTTTTGCCATTTTCAGATGTGTAGTAATCAAGATGTATTGCTCTGGGTATGTTAAATTTCCTAACTGCGTGTAAATTCAATTACAATATTTGTAACACATTCGGACGTGTCCAGGGATTAAGAATTGTTTATCTAAATTTGCAACTACAGTATTATCCCACTAATCCATTCCTAAAATTTTTCTTCTTTACTGGCCCTGCAGCTGTGTGTGTGGCTTGGTCTACTACGTATGTTCCTCTGGAGGTTGTCTAATAGAAACATTTTCCGGGATGGTGTTAATCCCAAGTCCAACCCCCAAACTAGAGGACTAGGGAGTACACTTCGTCTGACCCATAGACCTTGACCTGTCTGGCACAGATGGCTCTACCAGGAGGTTACGCTCCCGTCAGCATAGCTCTCTGGTCATTGGGATACGCAAACCTCTTTACGATAAGGCGGTAGTGTTCGAATCTGCTCTCTAGCAACGGGAACGTTTTTAGAGAGCCTTTGCCGAGAAAGGGCCACTGTTTACAGGGTCAGCGGTTAGCAATGAGTACATATGCTACATTATTCACATAAAGGCCTGCCTGTTTTCAAGTATATATTTGCTACGATTCTATTAAGACACGTTAGCTTAGGCTACTTTCATTTGTAGCGTTATTTTTTATATTGTTTATTTTGGCGCTTAGAGACTTACATTTCACTCGTAATTGAGATAACTCCTGGGCCAGGAAGTTCTTGCTCCTGTGATCCAAACTTCTCATGCTTCAGTTCTTGTCTCTCCTTGTGCAGGTTGGAACTACGCCTGTTCAAAGAAAAAAAAACTTGAATTTATCCTAAATGTCTGTGACGATACAGTATTAAGAGAAATATTCTGTTTCTGGATATTATCCATCGCCCTGTGTTTATTTGAAAACCGATGTTTCGGAGACTGGATTCTGTCTCCGTCTTCAAAAGTTCCACCTGAAGACGGAGACAGAATCCAGTCTCCGAAACATCGTTTTTTAAATAATAAAAGATAATGTTCAGAAACACAATATTTGTTATTATTTACGCTACTGTCACAGAGGCAACATGGCCACTTGACAGGATGCAAAATTACCTTATCTAAGCGAAACTTGTAACAAATACAAATTCGTAACAAATGTTTTACGTATGTTACACCGTGTTAGTCTTAGCTGTGGTGATATATACATTCAAAATGCATTAATGAAAGATATTTTGTGAAGCAAAATAATGCACAATTAATTTATTTTAATAAAGATGTACCAGTATATGAAAACCGTAAGAATGTGTTTGAGAACAGGGTGTTGAGGAGAATATTTGGACCGAAGAGAGATGACGTGACAGGAGGTTGGAGAAAAGTGCATAATGAGGAGCTTCCTAACTTGTACTCTTCTGCAATTATAATTAGAATGAACAAGTCAAGGAGGATGAGGTTGGAAAGTCATGTAGCACGAAAGGGGGAGACGAGGAATGTGTATAGGATATTAGTGGGAAAGCCAGAAGGAAAGAGTCCACTGGGAAGACCAAGGCGTAGGTGGGTGGACAATATTAGAATGGATCTTAGAGAGACAGGATTGGATGGTATGGATTGGATAGATCTGGCTCAGGATAGGGACCACTGGAGGGCTCTTGTGAACACGGTGATGAACCTTCGGGTTCCATAAAATGCTGGAAAATTCTTGAGTAGCTGCAAAATTGGCGGCTTCTCCAGAAGTGCTCAGCTCCATGAGTGAGTAAGTAAGTAAGAAGTGGAATTTGGAAAAGAAAACACAATTGTAAGAAGATGCCATTAACGCCTACTGAGTTCTGTTAACTGCATAAATAAAAACATTTTTCCGTTTGGTTGATTTGTTTTAAGATTATAAATCTATATAAATCATTTTTAAATAATTATTATGCAGATAAATATCAGAAAAAATCGAAAATTATATCTAAAACGTTGAATTATAACAATGGTTTTACTAGGGGTGGTCATTTCTTTTTATATTAGTGTTCAGGATGAAAATCGGATTTAAATTTTATTTCAGATCTCTTTGAAAACGTAACTGTTCACGGTCAATACGATAACTGTACCCTTACTTCAAAAGAGGGCCTTCAGATGTGTAGCAGGCCTTTAAATACAGACTAATTTAGACAGCAGCCAGCTCAGACATATCGGATTATAGATTTACAAAATCCGTGCCTAGAGGCTTATACAGGTCAAGATCTGTTCAACTAGAACTGATGAGGGCAAATTCGCTTACTGGGGGGGTGGAGTCCAACTGGGTCCACTCGTCACGGCGGTCACTGATTGGCCTACTGTACCTACCCCGGGTGATTATGATGGTGGAGAATTCGGTGGAATGAAGATTGGCAGGCGAAACCGAAGTACTCGGAAAAAACCTGCCCCAGGGCCACTTTGTCCATCACAAATCCAACTTGACCAGACCCGTAATGGAACCTGGGCTGCCGCGGTGGGAAGCCAGAGACTAACCGCTTGAGCTGTGGCGCGGCAGTTGAGGGCAAGCAATATAGTAACGACTGAAATGCTTTAATAATTAAAAATAATACAACGATAATTATTACATTTATATTATAGCTTCTCCTCTTCTTAATCTGATGTTATCGTTGATGTGCGCTTATAGAAGGAATATAATTATTGTCGCCAAAAGCCTCCTGTATCACACAGCACTATCAGAAATGATTTCTCCCACGATTTTGCTAAGACATTCACTATATTATTTTTTTTCCAAATTAATTATAAAATGAATATTTTAGAGAAATCTATGTCTTATGTCACATGCATCACAGATTTTTTTACGAGGAACATCTGTTAAAAGACTGCCGTCTTCTGGGATGTGGCGCCGTGTAGGTCTTCAGCAACCTGCTCACGCTGGTTCCTCGCTAACGGATTTTTCTACTCTGAAGATGGAGGCGATACGTTCCTCTGAAACATCGGTTCACACAAGATCTATACAGCGCCACATCACGAAAGACGGCATTCTTCATAGTCACAGCAGTGAAAACCTCAAATTTTACATCTGTTGAAAAGATCGTTTGTGTTAGATTTGAGATTAATTTAGGGGACTATATCAAACTGATATGCAACAGAATCAAATTTCGCAACGAAATTTAAATAAATCCCTATATAAAATTTAATATAAAAACGTTCAGGAGTTTTAGAAAGAAAACCTAAGGACAAAAATGAATGGATACTCTCACTTCTCTATAAATTCACGTGGCACGGTGTTCTACAGAAAATTGTGGTATCAATTACATAGTCTGTATTTCATAATTTTTGGGTTTGAGATTTCAGGTTGTCACGGTAAGGACTATGAAAAATATGGCGGATTATTCACTGGTGTGTGACGCCGTGTGGTCCGGTAATATTCATCGATATTTTTTGTATGAATATATAAACTCCACATTACACAGCGTCAAATACCAGAAGAGAAGACGTTTATTTTGATGTTTTTCTTTTCTAACAACAGAACCTACAGGCCTATAATCTAGTAAATTTGGCTTAATTCATCCTATATAAATGTTATCAACTCCGCCCAGTGTGACTGATAAATGCTGTGTTTTTCTATCTTTCATCATTTACATGTTTCGGTCATAGAGATCATATTCAGCAGGACATTGTTGACGACACTAAAGAGTCCTGTTCCTCAAACAAAAGGACCACGACTTGGGCTTCCTTTAAAGAGAAGAAGTAAAAAGGACAGGAACCAAATTAGTTCTAAGTTTTAACAAAAATTTTTTAAAAAATATTTTGTAAATACACTAATTATATACAATTTATAAATGTTTTAACAAATTCATGCACGTCATAGTAATTTTTACAGGATAATATTTTATATCTATGACATTGCAATAGTAGTTTCTGTAAGTATTGGTAATGTCCTTCTGAAGATGGTCGCTTCGACCGAATCATGTAAATGAAGGAACATTAAAAAAACGTAACATTTATCAATCACACTAGACGGCGTTAATATACTTTTATAGTATTATCCAGCATTTTGTATAGATAAAAATCTTCTTAAAATTCTTAAGTCATATACTGAGTTATTAACATTAATATTTAAACAGTTTGAATCCTACACAAATCTTCTTAGAAATGCGGAATATATCTAAATTTTCAAGTTAAATGAAGACTAATACAGATTATCAATTTGAAGGGATTGTAACGTTGTGTAGTTCGATATAAATCTTCCGACATTCCTCCGAAACGTCGCTGGAATTCCAATAAACTACACGATATCACAACTTAGAAATCTTCACAGAGTCAATGTTGAGAGAACTCCAAGTGCAACGTGTGTATCAGGTTGCTTGTGACACTGCCTAGTACACTGACAACAGACTGCGCTGAAACACTCCCATCCACTGCTCGCTTCAGACCACTACGTCACACGTCGCCCTCCTTACGAACTGATCTCAGCAAATGCTCCCCTCAATATGACTTCACAGTGACCCCCCACACAGGCTACATCGATTTTTTCATTATTGCTACTGGAATGAGGAGACGCAATCAGATATTCATGAGCCAGAAAGAACAGTAATTATGACGAAAACATTTCAAAGGATTTAAACCGTAGTTTCTCTGTCTCCGTCTTACTAATGAGACATAATTGGAAATCCGTGTTTGAAATGTGTCTCTGCTTGGCCATGAACTGGACTGGACGTACATAAGACGTTTCATTCGTCACGGAATTCATAATTATAAACTTCATTTAAGAATTATCTTCGTTACCGATCAGTCGTGAAGAAAGCGTTCTGAAATCAAAATGGTGATTCGTACATAATATCGGTAAGCTATTGCATCTTTAATATTATATTCTTCCGTATACACCACATTCATTTCGCACAGCAGTGCTATACAGTGTAAGGAGGAGAAATTACGCACCCAGGTTTGTTTATTGTTTCATATTTGTGACTTGTTGTTAAGATAAATATGTTGTCAGTGTCCCAGATTACAGAGTACAGAATGTTAGAATAATCCATGAATAAAAATTTGAAAACATTTAGAAGGAATCGGTCGTGGCCCACTCGAGCTGCTACACGGAAAACCATGAAAAGCCTCGGTCAGAATAGTCCATTTCCACACCGAGATACGAATAAAGTTCCTCCCGAATACAAGTTTAGGCTGTCATATCTTCGCCTAACTGGTCGCGCTGTTAAAAATAAAACAAAACTGAACTAAACTAAACTCCGTGGCTCTTAGTCCACAAGCGAACTATACCGAACGAGCGACCGCTGTTTGTCGGCGAAGTTAGTCGCGCTGTTATGTACAATATGTACAATAGTTAAAACTGTGGCTTAAGCATGAGTGCCAGTTTGTGTGTACAGTGGCCATATATTGCTATAGTTTAAACAATTATGGATCTATCATTTCTGAGATTATCATCTTAGTAACTATGAAAAAATTATTTTAGTTGTGACGCCGTGTAATCCGGTAGAATCTTACCAAAGTTTCGAGGGGAACAGTCCTCCGAAACGTAGATAAACGTCTACCAGACTACATGACTTCATATTCCAGAAGATACCATTTTTAAACTATGGATATAAAGGTTTTCCAGAAAATTATATTTAATTACGTAATAGATTCTTGTGTTGAGGACTGTAATCCTTTCTAACACTATTTCTTGATATCTCATTACTGAAATTAGAATTAAGCCTAATTTTATAACATTTTTTGAGCCTTTACGAGCCCAGGCCACTGATATTGCAAAAGTGAATCAGTGAATCCCCCACCACAGCGC